CATTGAGGATGCATCAATAAAATATTGTTTTGTTTAAAAAACAACTTCTCAAGCGTCGGTCTCAAGTCAGTGCCTGGGAAAATGCTCGAACGCTGTTTCATCAGACCTCGCCTTTCCTCGTGCCGGCAGTATCCAAGAAGTGGAAGGAAGAAGGTGCTGGTGGGGGGCCTCACCTGCAGGAGGAGCCCCTCGGCTCTGCCCCCCACCTCCGCCCCACCGTGTGGGTGTCCTGGCCCAGCTCTGTCTGTCTCCAGAGCTGAAGGAGGCAGTTTCAGGGAGGCTGTCTCCAACCTTATTCCTGTTACTGGCTTTGGACCCTGTGGGGAAAAGGCCATGTGTCCATGGCTCGGGCCCCACTTCCTTTTTGGAACGTGGGTGCATATGTACGTGTGCGGGTCTATGTATGTGGCTGCTGCCACGGGTGTGGGTGTCTGTGCTCGGCTCGCACACACCTGCATGCCGTGTGTACTTGAACGTATCTGTGTGTGTGCCCATGTGTGTGGCTCTTCCCGTGGCCGTACGCATGTGTGTGTGCTAGGCTGGGCCCCCTTTTCCCTACAGGAGGGCAGCACAGCCTCTCTCACCTCTTCTCGCACACACCCGGGCCGGGCCCCCAAGCCTCGGAATGCCCGTTTGCGCCGGGGCTCCCGGAAGCCCCGTTCCAGAGTTCCTTCTTGTCCCCAGGAGTCATGTGGCCCGGGGTCTGGTGTGGAGAACACATCACCAGGCATGGGCTTGGTTGTTCTTTCCACCCACTCAAGTAGCATGCCTTGACCGAATATTGGTTACTTGCCTGGTTTGAGACTACGCTGTCTGGGGAGGCATGAGTCGTGGGCCCAGGCCAAGCCAGAAGTGGAGGGGTGCATGCTGGGGCGGCCGGAAACGGGTACTATGATTTGCCAGAGGGCAGGGGTGCTGAGGCCCTTGAGGACAGCTCTGGGACAGCTCACCCTGTGTCATTCAGCCTCCGCTCTGATGCTCCTGGCCGCTTGGAGTGTCATCTAACTCTGTCTTTCCAAACTCAGCTCAAGGGTCATCCCCGCGGAGGGCTGGCTCTTCCTTAGGAAATTCTGAGCGCCTGGAAGGGTGCACCTGAGGGGTGTAGTTTGACGGTTAGGGAGCCAGCTTTGCTCGCTGTATTTCAGTTCCCTTATGTGTAAAGTGGGGTTTTATTATGAGCCCCTGGCAGTTAGGGTGGTCTTGAGAATGACACAAGTCAATCCGTTTAAGGGGCTTAGCCCAGCACCTGCACATAGTAGGTGCTCAGGACATGTTAGCGGATGGTCGGTGAAGGTTTTCAGGCGTGTGGGTGTGAAGGTATGCGTCTCCACTGGGCTGGATGCTCATGAGGGCAGGGCCTGTGGTCTGCTCTGCCCTCTGTGCCCGGGATCTGGCACACATGGGCACTCGTTCCACAAGGCCGGTGAAGGACGAACAGCCCGCCCCCAGTGCCTAGCTCTCTCGGCCGTCTAGGGGTGGGTGAGAGCTGGGCAGAGCCGGGCTTACTATCCGGGCTTCCTTAGGTCCTGAGTGGGGCTTCCGTTTGGATCTGCCACCAGCCGCTCAGCTTGGGGTTGGGGGGCGGGGAGAGCATGGGGGGCCCTGAGTCCCGGGAGCCTTCCCACCACACGGTCACATCTCACAAACAGCAGGACTGGTGGCTGCCCACCCCACCCTCACCGCTACCCCATCCCTTCCATCTACCCTCCCCATCCAGCCTCCCTTGCCTGTGTTTTTAAGTTTGTTTTCTAAACAAACGGCATTTCTGTCTCTCCCCCTCCTTCCTTCTTATTTATTTTTTAAATATATATATTTTTTTATTTGAGAGAGAGAGAACATGAGCAGGGGAGACGGGCAGAGGGAGGGAGGCGGGGAGGGGGGAGAGAGAGAGAA